CAGGGAGAAGTTACTGTTGCTGTACCAATCCAATGTCTGTATTGTAGGAATTGTGTAGCTTCAAGCCCATCTCAGTGCTCCCAAGGGATGTGTTTGATCCACAATAAGAGTACAAAGTTTTACAGATTTGTATGCTATTATAATAAAGTTGTATTTCTCAAAGCTGAAGTGCCACCCGATCACAGCAATTGTTCTATTCTATGTCTTTGCAGAGTACTGTGTTAGGTCCTGTGCACCATATTTTAAAAAACACTGAAAAACTTAGGTACTGTGGATGGAAACAAAAATATATTTCCCATAGACATTGGTGAAACATCCTGAAAGTGAGAATGTTTGGTGTCTGTATTTTTTAGATTTCCTTCCTCCTTCCTTCCTTCCTTCCTTCCTTCCTTCCTTCCTTCCTTCCTTCCTTCCTTCCATCCATCCATCCATCCATCCATCCTTTTCGTATATTATAGAAATAAAATCAAATAAACATTGAAAAAAGGATTGGCTTTAAACCTGATTAATATCATGCTACCTGTTTTTGGGGAGCAAATTTAATTTAATTCTCTAGTTTCTTTGAAACTGCTGCAAAGCTGATACCATATTTCCTTGAAAGAAGGGCAAATAAGGAAGGTCATCTTTAGATTTTCTGAGAATACAATTATAATGTGTATGTATTTATATCCTATTTTTATCTAATCTTCCTTTGGGGAAACTCATTTTAAATTCCTTTTGGGTGAATATATATTTGCCTTTGAATGTCTCTGTGATCTTGCAGGAGTCAGATTTTCAACAGACAAAGATTCTTGCCTTACCCCATCTCCTGGCTCAGAGATTCAAGCCGGCCATTACTCTCTCTCTTCCCCCCCTGCTCCCACAAAAAAGGTTCAGCATTCTATTCCTGGAGCTTGTCTGTTCTGGTATGCAAGTTAGAGGTTAGGTACTCCCCACTCCCATCTAGCCCCTGTAGCAATATGCTGTCATGGTCAGAACTATTAAGAAAGTTGTCTGGCTGCAGCATTGCCAAGATGATATTATTTCACCTTCACAAGATTGCCAACATAACATTTTACAGGTGCTTTTCAGTGCAACAGAGAAATGGTGACAAGGCAGATAATAAACCTTTGAAGGATTTTGGTTCATTTTGTTAATCATTATTTAATTAAAGAAAGAAAGAAAGAAAGAGAGAGAGAGAGAAAGAAAGAAAGAAAGAGAGAGAGAGAGAAAGAAAGAAAGAAAGAGAGAGAGAGAGAAAGAAAGAAAGAAAGAGAGAGAGAGAGAAAGAAAGAAAGAAAGAGAGAGAGAGAGAAAGAAAGAAAGAAAGAGAGAGAGAGAGAAAGAAAGAAAGAAAGAGAGAGAGAGAGAAAGAAAGAAAGAAAGAGAGAGAGAGAGAAAGAAAGAAAGAAAGAGAGAGAGAGAGAAAGAAAGAAAGAAAGAGAGAGAGAGAGAAAGAAAGAAAGAAAGAGAGAGAGAGAGAAAGAAAGAAAGAAAGAAAGAAAGAAAGAAAGAAAGAAAGAAAGAAAGAAAATACACAAAATTATAAAAGAAGGGGGGGGAAGCTAAAAAAACCAAAAACATACAAGACGTATATTTACAAACATACATATATCAAAAAATTGAAGCCATGATTAATAGCTTTCAAAGGATTTTGGTGTTTTTGTTTATATTTCTTACGGCTGCCTTTCCCTGACAAAGCTTCCTATCATAGCAACCTCAGATTCTCTCTCTCTCTCTCTCTGCAAACCACTGAATATACATAAATGCATGTGCTGAAAAATGGATAGATGAATTCTCTTTTGTGTGGAATGGGGAAGAAATCACTTTTGCTACTTCATAATTGGTGATACCTTGGGGAGCAAGAGACTGATTGGATGATATTCTTTTCACTCTTCTGTTGACCAACTAGAGGGTGAGCACTGATTGGCTCGTGGGTAAGTTTCTGGATTTGTCTACCCCTTTTCACCTACTTCCTTTTTTAAAAAAAAAATTCCATCAAGATCACTTTGCATTTTCTCTGCCCCTTTTAATCTTAACCATTCCTTGCCCTTTTTGACTACATTTTTGCAGCTATCTTTTTCTTCCTATACACATCATAGAATATCTTTCTGTCATCTTCATTTTTGATAGAAAATCAATATTTTACGTGAACTTTTTTTCTCTTTCACCGTCTCCTTCACTTCATCATCCCACTAAGCATCCTTTTTCATACTTGCCATTAGCTAACTCTACACACTTCAGTGGCATTTTATACCATAATTCTTTTTACTCTGATCCAAGCAGCTTTCATATTCATTTTCCATTCATTATTTTAGAAGATTCATCTAACTTCTAATGTTTTTTCCATACAGGACTCATACTACCTCCTCCTGCTGTGATCCTCTTTTCATTCTGGTTTCTTTCACATCTACCAATTTTTGTTCCCTGTTCATTTTTTCCCAAGAACTACTCTTAATGCTACCAAATAATGATCTGTCCCAAATTCAGAACTTTTCCCTCTTATTATATCCTTTACTAATTCTCTTTAACTTTATCATAAACAATCAAATCAGTTATGCTCTTTAAACCCAACTTTAAAAATCGGGAAAAAGATGATGATATGGAAAAATTGGATGGAATTTGTCATCTGGACATTGTAAGTGGATTCTCTGTGCCCTTACTATGGTCAGACTGATACTGCAGCATTAGAAAGATAAATGTATGGCCCCATTTATTCAATGGATTGAAGACCTGATTGTACTTGCCACTTATGAGAGGATTGCCTACAGACGTAGACTTTGTATGGACAAGTATAATGAAATATGGGACTCACTTATGCAAAATATAATAGGTTACAAAAATGATAGTCATATAGATCTATTAGAAATATATATGTACTTGAATAATATTTGTATTAGGTAAGTATATACAGAATTATGCTTATCTAATATTATTCAAGTACATATATATTTCTAATAGATTTATATGACTATCATTTTTTAGGTTATATCATTATAACAATAAACAATTACATATATAGAATTGCCATTATTTTTATAATGATATATGAACAGTTTTTTTCTCTGTTGTATTTTTTTAACTTTTTTGTTAAAGCACTTTTATGTATTTTTTCTTCTTTTTGTAATCAAAAGTTTTTAAAAAAATAAATAAAATATATCAGTTATGCTTTTTGATTCATTCCTATTCCATGTGTATAAATGGATAGACTTATGCTTAAACCACGTAGATGATTTTTTTCTAAGCAATCTAGTGCTAAGCCGTCACCATTCCCATTCATTCTTCAGTCTCCATGGCCCAAGTACTTTTTCTATACTTTCTCATCTTGTTCCTACCTATCCATCATATCACCAAAGAGCCAATTCCTTATTTCTGATTTTCATGTTCTCATTCATAATTAAACCTATAACTTCATTTCCCTATGTGTATTCATGAACTCTGTTCATTCATAGACATCTTCATTTTGATATATTACAGTTTTCCACTTTCTCTTAGTTTCACACAACATAGAACAGTGTGGCTTTTATCATCCAAGGGTTTCACACAATGCCTTATAGCAGTGTTTCTTAAAGTGTGGTCCTAGGACCCCAAGGGGTTCCCCAAGACCCTCTGAGGAGTCTGAAAAATCAACATTATTTGCCAGATATTGAAGGTATTTGCAAAAAATTAATGTAACTCATCTCATTATTTTTTATTTCTTAAAAATATATAGAGTTTTTTCACGTGAAATATTTTATTTATGTTAATATTTAATGGGTTTAATATTGTTATTTTTACATGGTTCAATAAATAAATATTCTATGAATGCGTCAGTTTTAATTTTTAACATGGTAAATATTGCTAAATATAATCCATACAAACAAAGCTGTTTTGGGGTCCTCCATAATTTTTAAAAGTGGGAAGGGATCCTGAAAAAAAAGTTTAAGAAACACTGCTTTATGACAGGGAAGGGATATACTAGATTACCAATGTTAGCTGCACTCATGCTATGTGCAGCGTTCCTTGCTAAAGGTAAGGACAATATTGGTTAGTTTTAGCACATTTTTGCTTATATGCCACAAGTGCAACCACAGGTGAGTTTTACCCCAAGCACAGTAATGCTATCTTCTACAAGCTAGGATCTCTAATATAATATATGGATGGATAGAATAAAAATATCAGTGATGTCATAAATGATGTCTGAAACTTCTAGAGCTACATGGTAGCTGTTAGCAACAGAAGAAAGGAAGACACCAGAAGAAGGGAGAGACTGCAACAACAATGAAGTTCTGTGTCACAGGACTATTGTTTCTAATGTAAGAACCATGAATCCATCTGGGTCTTGGGATTCTTATTGTAAAGAGCAATCTGAATAAAGAACAAAGCCAGGAAGGTAAGAAGTTCTGGCCCAGATAATTGGTACCAAGGGGTATTCTAGAAGTCACTACCAGTGGACTGAGCAATCTTGTCTGGCCACATGCAGATGGAAGAAGGATGGATGAGTCTGAGATTGCTCTTGATCCAGTAATTCTTGAGAATAATAAAGCAAATGAAGAAATCGAACATAATGACGAAATCAATGAAGAGAGCAACAATGATGTAATACAACATAAAGAAAGTGGAGACACTGCCCCAGTAATAGAACAAGATGTTCCAAAGATGCAAACTTCATCTAAACAGTTTATAGACCAAGATACACAGTCTGATAGCAAAGTTAGTATTTTCAAAAGAAAAGAATTCATAGATCAAAATGATCAAACATGCACTCTTCCTGGCAATGGAACCAGTAGTATAGCATCCCTCAGAAAACAATCCAAAAATAGCCAGCATTTTGAAACTCAGGAACAGCAATTCCCAGGCCAGGAATCCCGCCGCAATAGCCAGCAGCTACCTGGCCAGGAATCCCGTCGTAATAGTCAACAGCTACCTGGCCAGGAATCCCACCGCAATAGTCAGCAGCTACCTGGCCAGGAATCCCACCGCAATAGCCAGCAGCTACCTGGCCAGGAATCCCGTCGTAATACTCAGCAGCTACCTGGCCAGGAATCCCACCGCAATAGTCAACAGCTACCTGGCCAGGAATCCCGTCGTAATACTCAGCAGCTACCTGGCCAGGAATCCCGTCGTAATACTCAGCAGCTACCTGGTCATGAATCCCACCACAGTAGTCAACAGCTACCTGGCCAGGAATCCCACCATAGCACTCACCTCCCAGGCCAGGCATCCTGGCATAGTCAGCATCTTTCAGGCCAAGAATCCCAACGTGGCAGTCAAGTGCTGTCTGGCCAGGAATCCCGGCATAGCAGTCAGCATAGTCAACATCTCCCAGGTCAAGAATCTCGGCGAAGCAGTCAGAAGTCTTCTAGAACACAGCTTATGAATGAAGCAGAAACAAAGGAACATCCATCTTGGGTCAGTCCAAGGACAGGGAAAGTTATGAAATGTGAAAGCCAGCAGACAAGTAGAGTTTGGGAGTTCAAACCACTTGCTGATATTCTTCAACCTTTAAGTCAAACAATTCATAAAAGCAGAAGTACAAAGAAAGCAGCTGCTCAAATTTCTTCTGTAAGTACCAATCAGCCTGTAGTACAAGAAGCAGGAATCAGCAGCCAAAAGCCAGGGAGTCAGGCTTCACAACAGGGTAGTCAACAATCAGTAGAGGTTGTGTCTTGGATTAACCAAAGAACAGGAAAGATAGTAAAATGCACAAGTCAACAGACAAGTAGAATCTGGGAACGAAAACCCCTTGCAGAAATCCTTTCTAGTCAACAGACACAGACCATCAGAGATACTGAAGAAAAAGTGATAACAGAAGAGATTGTTCCTCCCAAGGGTCCAGAAGAGGAACTGGCAGAAATAGCTGGTCAGAAAGTAGAAGGAAAGGAATCCCAGTATGGCAGTCAACAGGTTGAGAGCAAGGAATCCAGACAACTAAGAGATTTGACAGCTGTATCTAAAAAAGTGGCAGATGTAACACTACAAACTGACAGCACTGTGAGTATTTTTAGGCGCAAAGAACTGATGGACCAAACTGAACAAACAGGTTTCTCTTCTGGCAGTTCACCAAGCAGCAGAACATCTGTGCAGAAGTTTCCCCAAGATAATCAGCAACAAAAATCCCAGTTTGGAACTCAAAAGGAAGGGCAAGAATCAAGACGTGGTAGTCAAGAAGTGGAAGGTAAGCAGTCACTGCACGTCAGTCAAGAATCCAAAGTTCAGGAATCCAAACATGAAAAGGAAGAACCAGAAGGTCTGGGATTTGTGGATGACAGTAAAAAAGCGGATGCTGAAAAATCATATACTGAAAGCCAACAATTAATCAAACAGGAATCTAAAAGGATGAGCCAACAGTCACAACAGCCAGTTGAGACAGAGACTCATGGGGAAAGACACCTTTCAATGCAGCCTGTTCAGAAACCTTCAGCTGAGTACAACAAGATATCTGGCATTATTTCTGATGAGAAAATTGTCCAGGTGAGTGGAAGAACTGGTGTACAACTTAAATGTACAAGTCAACAGACAAGTGACAGTCTGTTCAGAGACTATCTAATAGAATTATACGGCCCAAGTATTAGACAGAAACAAAGTCAGCCCCCTGAGTCCAAAAAGAGCATCCAAGAGCCAGATATGCCAGGATCCAGAAAAGTTAGCCAACAGTTGGCAGCACGAGAGTCTCGAAAGAGTATCCAGGAGCCAGAGATACCAGGATCAAGAAAAGCCAGCCAACAGCTGGAAGCACGAGAGTCTCGAAAGAGTATCCAGGAGCTGCCAGGATCCAGAAAAGCCAGCCAACAGCTAGAAGCACGAGAGTCTCGAAAGAGTATCCAGGAGCTGCCAGGATCCAGAAAAGCCAGCCAACAGCTAGAAGCACGAGAGTCTCGAAAGAGTATCCAGGAGCTGCCAGGATCCAGAAAAGCCAGCCAACAGCTAGAAGCACGAGAGTCTCGAAAGAGTATCCAGGAGCTGCCAGGATCCAGAAAAGCCAGCCAACAGCTAGAAGCACGAGAGTCTCGAAAGAGTATCCAGGAGCTGCCAGGATCCAGAAAAGCCAGCCAACAGCTAGAAGCACGAGAGTCTCGAAAGAGTATCCAGGAGCTGCCAGGATCCAGAAAAGCCAGCCAACAGCTAGAAGCACGAGAGTCTCGAAAGAGTATCCAGGAGCTGCCAGGATCCAGAAAAGCCAGCCAACAGCTAGAAGCACGAGAGTCTCGAAAGAGTATCCAGGAGCTGCCAGGATCCAGAAAAGCCAGCCAACAGCTAGAAGCACGAGAGTCTCGAAAGAGTATCCAGGAGCTGCCAGGATCCAGAAAAGCCAGCCAACAGCTAGAAGCACGAGAGTCTCGAAAGAGTATCCAGGAGCTGCCAGGATCCAGAAAAGCCAGCCAACAGCTAGAAGCACGAGAGTCTCGAAAGAGTATCCAGGAGCTGCCAGGATCCAGAAAAGCCAGCCAACAGCTAGAAGCACGAGAGTCTCGAAAGAGTATCCAGGAGCATCCAGGAAAGTTAGCCAACAGCTAGAAGCACGAGAGTCTCAAAAGAGTATCCAGGAGCCAGAGGTGCCAGGATCCAGGAAAGTTAGCCAACAGCTAGAAGCACGAGAGTCTCAAAAGAGTATCCAGGAGCCAGAGGTGCCAGGATCCAGGAGAGTTAGCCAACAGCTGGAAGCACGAGAATCTCGAAAGAGTATCCAGGAGCCAGAGGTGCCAGGGTCCAGAAAAGCCAGCCAACAGCTGGAAGTACGAGAGTCTCGAAAGAGTATCCAGGAGCCAGAAGTGCCAGGATCCAGAAAAGCCAGCCAACAGCTAGAAGCACGAGAGTCTCGAAAGAGTATTCAGGAGCCAGAGGTGCCAGGGTCCAGAAAAGCCAGCCAACAGCTAGAAGCACGAGAGTCCCAAAAGAGTATTCAGGAGCCAGAGGTGCCAGGGTCCAGAAAAGCCAGCCAACAGCTAGAAGCACGAGAGTCCCAAAAGAGTATCCAGGAGCCAGAGGTGCCAGGGTCCAGAAAAGCCAGCCAACAGCTGGAAGCACGAGAGTCCCAAAAGAGTATTAAGGAGTTGACAGTGCCAGGATCCAGGAAAGCCAGCCAGCAGGTGGAAGCAAAGGTGTCCCAAAAGAGTATGCAGGTCCCAGAGGTGCCAGGGTCCAGAAAAGCTAGCCAACAGCTGGAAGCACAGGAGTCCCACCATAGTATCCAGGAGCTGGAGGTGCCAGGATCCAGAAAAGCCAGCCAGCACCTGGAAGCACAAGAATCCCGCAAGAGTATCCAGGAGCCAGAGGTGCCAGGTTCCAGAAAGGTTAGCCAACCAATTGTACAGACGCAATCACAACAGTATGCAGCTGATGCAACTGAACAATTAGGTGCCTCTGAAAGCCAAGCAACTCTAGAAAGTTTCACTGATTATCTAGATAGGGAGAATAAAGCTTTGCAGACATACAGCATAATTTCTCTAGAAGACGGGATCTTGCTGAATAGAAAAACAGGCAAGTTTTTAGTAAGTCACAGTCAACAAACCAGGATGACCTCACTTCTGACCATTAATGAAACAGCAGTAGAGGAAGGAAGAATGGCAGAGCCATTTGTACTTGGGAGTGATACTGAAGGAGTAGGGCCTCAATCTGAAGAATTAAATCAGATCAGTACTACAGATGAAGAACAGGCTGATCAGGGCCAACAGGAACTTCTATGTAAAGAATCTCACCATGGTAGTGGAGAAGTCTCTGCCCAGGACCAGCCTCCATTGGAGAAAGAACTTGAATCTGATATTCAGCAAGCTTCAAGTCAAGAACTGCTCAGTGACACCCAGAACCCTGAGAATCTAGAGCAAACTGAGGGACAAGAACACGAGGACACAGGTGGTGTTGAACAATTGGTAAGTCAGCGCTTGAGTGAAGAGGACACAGGTGGTGTTGAACAATTGGTAAGTCAGCGCTTGAGTGAAGCAACACTGGAAAGCATAGCAGCTGCTGAAGGAGATGATGCATCTCTAATGACATATAGTGCTGTTTCCTTAGAGGAAGGATGCTGGATCAATAAAAGAACAGGCAGAAAAGTGGTATCTCAGAACCAGCAAACAGAAGAGTCTTCATTTCAGAAACACGAAGACACAGAGGAACCCCAGAATGGTGACTATGCACCAGAAGAAGGCATGAGTGAAATAACTGAGCCAAGTGGGTAACACATAACAGCCTGGAGGAGAGAAGGGACGAAGAATGATCATGATGCCTAAGGCCACCCTAACCAGTGAGTAATTAGTTCTTTGTGGAGTGATAGGCAGCACTGTCTTTTCCCTAAAAAGAATAATTGTATTGAAGGTTTGTTCTGTCTTATCAAAAAGAAGACAAGGTGTATAGAAGGGGGACAGTAACATTTCAAGGGAGTACGCTGGGTCTCTTTCATCAGAAGAAAGAAGCTATAGACTGGAAGGAGCAGTCTTAAAAGAGGGTTTCTTTAAGCAGAATTATTATCTTTTTGGGATGGATGAAAGATCACTGCAAGCAGATCTGTAAAAATTTAGCTAATTTTCATCATTAAAAAAATTGGAACTATCAAAAAAATTCACTTACAAAATATAGTACAAAATATAGAATTTCAGATAAAGGAACAGAGGTTGGTAATTCTCTCAAATGAATGAAATTTGCTGGTTCCAAATCTAGATTTGTTCTTGCCCTCCATTTTTCCAGCTTACCAAAGACATCACATGTTTTGGTACCACAACTGACATAGGATGCATTGAAATGTGTTGCAGATTCCCATGAATTTCAGCCTATGTAAAAATCCTTCAAGGATGCTACAGAAGATGAAAGAGAGGGAAAAAGCAGCCATGGATACAGAAAAGAGCCCTACTTATTATTAATGTACATCATTCAACATCCTTTATATCACAGGGAGCTAAACTGTTGTCCATGAACCCCTGGTAGTCCACAATGGTGCAGGTGTGAATGGTCAGTGGTCCATGGTATAGGTGTCAAATTAAGAATAGATATAATTGTTTAAAAAATATGATGAGGCCTTCTGATGTGGCCGGAATCACTGTACAGTTTAAGGGAATAATGAATGAGGGAGGGAATGGCACGGAGCTTTCATCATTATCATTCTAATTAAAAGAACACAAAATAAAGATAAATATAAATAAAAGTAGATCTCACCACTCACATTAGGATATCCAAACATTCCATGTTAACCAGCTTCATAAATTTCAGTAGGGAAGGAGCCAGCCTGAACTCAGGGCTGCCCAAAGGAGCCAGATAGAATGTGGATCCAGTCCACATTTGGTGGTGCACATACTGCAGACGATTCTATTTGTACCCTCAGACTCCATACATTGAAATGAACCCTAGATGACCCTGTAAGATGTTGCCCTAATCATCTCATTAGATTGCTCAAGTAACATCTAATTATATTTGCTAAGAATCTGACAAGTGAGTCACAGAAGCCTGTAGAAAGGTCTTCTGGTTGGTTCTTCCACAAAAGATTGCAGGCTATCCTGAACAAAACGGCTGAATGAGATTCTGCAAATACAGAAAGAGCAGAGAAGGAGGACTGCTTTGCTGTTCTTACCACTGCAGTGTTGGCACAAGCATGAGATATACCTGCGTTTGATCTTATTCACTCTTGGTTTTCTCCTATCATCACTCTAGGCATCTTTTTTGTTACTTCATCTCCCAGACAAGGGAGCACTTTGAGATTAGTGCAAAGAGAGAGGTCACGTAGGAGTAATCTGCTTCAGCATTTTTGATGACATCCATGGCAGAACTGTCTGAAGTATCATTGGAAGAATCCCCACTTGCTTTCTGAAATCCAACTGGATTCATAAGGCACTTGGGGTTGACCATGCAGAGGTACCTGGAATTCTAAGATCTATGAGAGATGTTTTACTTGAAATGAAATCAAAAATTCAATTTTGCATGAAACTAAAAAATAGGATAAAGTTTAGCATTAGCAATATATATGGGCGAGGAATTGGAATATCCAGTTTCAAGAAATGTACCATACACGTCTTATGATTTAACAATGAAGTGAATTTTTGTTTCCTATTTATTGGATTCCTCAAATAATGTTTGAAAAAGATTAGATATAAGATTTCTTGTGTTGGTATTGTAAGAAATTTGAGGGTTCTTTAACTCATCTGATTTGATCCTGTCCAGTTATGGCTCCCTTTTACTTTCCAGTTTAACATATGTTAATATAATCAAGAAAACATATAAAAGGTATACATCTGATGTTGAATTATACTCCCAAAATATGGAATCTGACATTTTATGAAGAACTCTGGTTTTAATGCACATGGAGCTTTGTCAGATTTAGCCCAAAGAACTCCAAGAGACAATGCAAATACAGTTCTGTTGCGTTTATTAGCTACAACC